TTAATTCTTAACATACTTATCAGATCACATTTATTTACTATTAATCTATCTATCAAGTTCTACTTTTACCAATCGTGTAAGGATATTTTTGGTAAGTCAACACCAAATTAAAATACACTCTCTTTAAATTTCTTAAAAATCAATATCTCTCATGCATGTTTGTAAGGACCTTGGGAATACATGTTAGGGAGTAGAATTTTTGTTAAGTTTTTTTTTCCCAAAAAGTATCAAAGCACTAGTTTTCACAAATAAAAATACTCACTTGATTTGAATCATAAAAAGTTCACTTTTTTCAATTCGTACCAAAAGGAGTTTAATTTGTCTTTCCGAAAGTAGTTTTAATTAGTGCAAGTTTTGATTGTTAGAGTATACAAAAATTATTTCTGAGCCACAATCACACGCGTGAGCTAGTTGAGTTGTTTCTCAACATGATATCACAACCTTGATAACAAAGAAGTCGCAAATTGGAAACTCACTTTCGCCAACTTTTAAAAAAATTAAGAGTTCAAGTGCAAGGCTCAAAGAAATCACGTCCAAACCTTGGTATTTGTACTATAATTCTAGCATGACTCACATTATAACAATTGATTGAAATCCCTAACCTATCTATGACATTGGTCAATTTCTTTCATTGTATGAGGAGATTCATGTCAACCTAAGACCCATGATATGAGTTAGCTTTGTGTAGCTTTAGGTAGACTTTTTTTTTATTGAAGGAAAGTTTTAGGCAGACTTTAGTTTTAGGTAAATGTAAATTTTTAATGGTTGTTTATAAATTAAGAAAAAATAATTACATTATGATGTAAATTTAATATAAATAAATTAATTTCAAAATATAGTTTTGAAATTCTACAACTTTATTATACTCGTATTATTTATGAATAAAGATACTAATGGTTAAAATATTACATTGGACAAAACTCATGAAAAATCAAATGTGAAGATTAAAAAAGGGCAGAGAGATTATTAGAAAACCAAAAAAAACATATATACTCCATATATAAAAACCTATGTATGTACGTACGTGTGCGTACCTTGATCTTCTTGTTGAAGTTTCTGAGGTTCCTCTTGAAGCGATACCTGTCGATCCTCTGGCGCTTCTCCGCCGGAGTGTAACGGCGGCAAGCCTCTCTGCTCATCCCTTCAATAATGGTGTTGCTTTCAGTGGTTAGTGGAGTACTACTCTCTGACCACCACCACCCCACTCTCCTCCTGACGCCGTTATTATTACAGCAGTAATAATTCCGTTGCACCATTAACTTGTTTATTCCCTGCATATATATCCCCCATTCACACACACACACACACACATGTGTACGTCAGTTGAATCCGCACTTGTCATTATTATTATTACTCCGTACTCTACCTAGCTACCCTCCCCTTATTTACTTAGGATGAGTTGGAGCATGCTATATCAAAATATGAACCAACATTTTGATGGTTCATACTGACACAAAATGCTGGTGCGTTAACAAAAATTTACACTGACACAAAGTGTTGTTGCGTTAACAAAAACTAGCATTACACCAACACAAAATTTTGGCGCATCCCTGCAGTGTACAAAATGAGGTATAAATTCTTGGGGTACAAATAGTTTTATCCTATTTACTTTCATCCATCATTTGTGAGTAATTTACTTAAATAAGACTAAAATATAATAACTTTCTCAAAATAAGACTATATGTTCTTATTTTCTAATGTGAACCATCAGTCATTATTCAAGTAAATGTTCACCATCACTAGACATTATTTCTCCCACTAAACATTATTAAAGGCATGTTTGGGAATAGCGTTAGCAATTAGCGTTAGCGTTTTGAAAAGACTATCTACGGGCAACGTTTAGCGTTAGCGTTTTCAAAGTAATCTGCACCGTCAAAATTTTATCGAAAATGCTAACGCTAATCTCTAACGTTATTCCCAAACAGGCCCTAAGTACTCCGTACTATTTAAAAAATAAAAAAGTTTAAGTCCTACATCGTGAAATGACTTAATCCGTATGTTTTAGTCCTATTTAGTGCAAATTTCACTTGTGAAAATAATATACTCCGTAGAAAAATTTACATTATATAGTGTTCTTCTGTTCTATAAAGATGTTTCTATTTTGATTTTTAGAAAATTTTAGGATAATAAATTTTTATATTGATTTTCCAAAAATACTCTTGATATGATGGGTAGATTATTAGTAAAAAGGTATGATGTGATAGCTAGATAGGTTAAGAATTAGTAAGAGTAAAAGTGATTTTTTAATTGAAAATAGAAGAAGTTTATGAGACAAAAAGAAATTAAATTGAAATGAATTTTTGAGACGGAGGGAGTACTAATATATACTTCCGCCGTCTTAAAAGATTTCTACAGTTTAACTTTTTAGGTCAAACTGTGTCATTTTTTACCACGAATTATGAAAAAAAAAGTATATTTAGTTATGATATAAGTTTAGGTAAATTGAATTTATTTTAAAATATAATTTTTAAATATCAAATTTTTATAATATCTAAATATTTTAAACTATATTTGGTTCAGGGTGAAGGGTGCCACAATTTGATCAAAAAGTCAAAGTGTGACAAACTGACAATCTTTTAGGAATGAAGGGAGTATGTCTTTTCTCAATTTAGTATTTAAATTTTTTTATTTTTTAAATAGTAGTTGAATAATGTATAGTGGCGATAGACATTTACTTTGAACATTGTTCAATAGTGGTGGAAATTTAGTTGAACAGTGTCCAATGGACACTGAACAATGATATCACATTGAGAAATAAAAATATACAGTACTATATTGGAAAACTCATTATAGTACTATTTTGGTCAAAACGAGTAAAGTTGACCAAACTATTAAAATGTGAAAACATTTTTTGGGGAGGAAGGAATAATTTTTATTTTTAATTTTTAATTCTACACGCCTTTTGTGCAGTTGGAGCCGGAGGTCTCTTGGAAACAGCCTCTCTACTTTCCAGTAAGAGCAAGGTCTGCGTACACACACCTCCACAGATCCTACTCTAGTGGGATTCAACTGGGCTATTGTTGTTTGATTTCTACACGCCAAAGCTTAGATCAATTTTACATAAAAAATTAATCATACATCATAAATTCAAATTAGGCAAATATACCGGAATAGAGAGAATATAAAAGGAGTTAAATTTTTACATGTTTTTTTATAATTAACGTCACGTTCTTTAAGTCTAAATCAATACCCCAAAATATTTTGACAAGTGGTTCCAGATATGCTTTCATACTTTATGATTCCAACCTTAAAATATTCCTGTTTTATTTATATGAAAAAAGAATTAATAATTTAACCCCCACCACAAATTTTGCGATTTTTTTTGTTTTTTTAACAAAAATGGTACGGAGTATTTGCACACCCATGCAATAAACTGGCACAAATTAAAATAGGTGTGCAACATATACATTTTGTGTCACTACAACTAAAACATGATTTAGAAAAACATGAGTGTATCCATAGCACAACAGATTTCTTAGTATTGGGAGAGATAGGATGGAGAATATATCATTACTGGGCAGCACTGAACTAAAGTGAAGTGACTCATTATTTCATTATATCATCATTCTAAATAAGTGGTATATAAAGTGATGCTAATAACCATTCTCAGTTTAGAGGTAGATAAATACTTATGAGGTGTTAGTTTAATCTCGATCGGCATAAGAAGTTTGTTGTTAATATAATTGTCACGCATATTTTGACTTTTGGAAGGGAAAGTTCTAGAAATTTGACCAAGGTGAAGCAACGATAATTAAAAAAATGAGTAGGGATCAAAGATGTCAAAATAGGTCGGGCATAGAGGATAGTTGAGGTAGGTTCGGTTAAATTTAAAAAAAAGTAAGAGTAATTGTGTCCATTTAGACAAATTTAAATGTTTTATGAGTCATGTAAGATGTGAAAGTTGAAAAATTTTACGACACGAAAGAGATGATATTTCAAAACTATGTTTCAAAATGAATATCTTGATAATAAATTTATATTATAATTCAATATATGTATAGTACATATTTATTCTATAATTCATGATCAAGTTTAAAAAAATTGACTACAAAAGTCTAAAATGACGAATGGGACAATTTTTTTTACACTAATGACTTTATTACAATATAAGATCGATCTCTCCATTTGTTCTTAATCTATTAAAATACATATACTTCATCTAAATAAGGTGTTAATTTAGTCACGCGCGTAGACTTGGAAGTATTTGGGATGAAAAATGTTAAGGATATAGCTAAAGTGTGTGTATTCCAAGTGTACACCACACTCTCCACTATTTAAATTTGGATGTGGATAAAAATATCGAAGAATAGATAAGAAATGTGTAGTGAAAAAAGTGATGATATACCAATTGAAAATACAACTGGTCTACCCTTAGCATTACTGGATCATTTGTGATTAATTTTGGCTTGGGTACTTTGTTGTTAAAAGTATACAACTTTCAGTATATTTGATCGATTAGTCATTGTTATTGAATTGAAACGGTTCTTTAAAATTAATAATTAGGGTTTGTTTGGAGTGGTTAATTTTTAAAATTTTGCACTTTCAAAATTAATTCACCCGCCCCAAATTTGCGATTTTGTAGATCTTGTTAGTTAAAACAACTATTGAAAAATTAATATGTATTGCTTGAATTTGTTTGAAGAGTAGAGAAAATTATTGCCAACCACATACTTATTTTCCTTTAAGATCACATTTAGTTTGAGAAATTAAGATTAAAAAATGTTTTGAAATTGAAAACAAATCATTTGGAGTTAAACTGGTTTTCTTTACCATTTCCTTTCACTTTTATTTCTTACGTATTCCGTGAAACAATGACTCTAAAAGGAGTAAGAAAAAACGGAAATTAAATTTATATCGAAACGGATTATATTAAAAAAGATGCTATAAAATTATAGTACTCCGTATTAGATTTAGGGGTTGTTTGACAACTTCTGAATCGTTAAGTGCTGAACCAGTAAGAGGCTTGAACCATTAAGTGCTGAATCAGTAAGAGATCTGAACCATTAAGAGCTAGTATATTGTTTAACTATTCAGAGGCAAATGTCTGATCAATTCAGATAAGAGGTCTTAACCATTCAGACTCTGTATAATACTTAACCATTCAGAGGCAAATCTCTTAACCATTCAGACATCTGAACCATTAAGAGGCTGAAACAAACAGTCTAAACCATTAAGTGCTGAACCATTCAGACGTCTGAACCATTAAGAGGCTGAAACAAACAGCCCTTTAGAGTGATTTTATTTTAGGCCAACAAATGAAAAGTGTGATTTTTTTCATTTATTTAATTTTTTTATGAATCAATTTATTTTAACTCAAGTTATCGAAATCAATTTTTTTAAATGCTATATTGAGAACAGTGAGACTAAAAATCAATTACTCCGTATGAAATTAATTGAACATATGGATCGGACTATAATTATACGAAGTACGATGTAAGATCTCCAAAAAAAAAATATGCCCACCGTACGTACCTGTAAATCACCTGATGAGCTGAAAAGCTGGCCAGCCGGACCAAAATCCGGTTCAAGAAACCCTGCCGGCGGGCAGTATGATGCATCCGGCCTCTTGTGGCATCTCACGCCTCCCTCCTGGAAACCGGATACCCCGTAGCGGCGGCCGCTAGCGGGGGATGAACCCGCGGTAGGAGAGCCGCCGCCGTAACTGTTGTTGCATTCGCCACCGCTGCTACAACCCGCACCGATCTCCCACCTCAGCCGGTCACGGCAGGCGGGTAGTGGAACAGCGGAGAGCAATTCCGGCCCCGCTGCGAGCACGGTTGCTGGCAACGCAACATGGCGGTGGCCGCCGCCTTTGTGCTCCGGCGACAGCGGCGGCCAGTTGCCGCAAGGAGGAGTGTCATCATTTGTGTGCATGGGGGTACTGTTTTGGGGCGAAGTTATTAGATAAGGAAGAAAGTCCTTAACCGGAACAGAGAGAGATAGAGGAAGAGAGAGATGTAGGTAGGGAGATTATATTAGTGAATAGTGGAGAGAATGACCAAATTATTCATTCATCTCAAATGAACACTATATGTATTGCTTTCTCAAAAAAAAAGATAAAGATATTTGTACCTCAAGAATTTGTACCTCATTTGTATACCGTAGGTGTATACCAACATTTTGATAATTTTTGTTAACGTACCAACATTTTGATATAGGAACCTTTCCTGGCATTACCGGATACGGATCCAGTTTCGATTTTGTTGTATTTAAATCGTCGGTTCGGGTATTGTGGTTTTATTTTCATCTTTTTCTGTTTATTCACTTAAAACATAATCATATTATCTCTAGTTTTGAAATTTTTTTATGTGATTTTGATATATGTAATTTTTTAAAAAAGATTACGTGAAAATTCATAACTAAATTGAACTGGAAATAAATATAATCAAATGATGGATGAAGTAAGGAAAGTAAGGAAAGAGAAATTATTGTAGTAGAAAGAGAATTTATAAATGCCACAAACTTTTTTCCAAAAGCGGGAAGTGAAACCTTATTTTGGAATAGACGAAAAAGAAATTAAAATTTATAATGGTTTTGTGGGATGGATGAAGTATAACTTAATCTTTCACATATAATTTTCATAAAAATTGTATTAGGAAAAAATACACACTCTATTTTTATGAAAATTCAAAATTTGACACACTTTAGCTAGGATGGAGCGAGTATTAAATAAAATTAGACCAATAAAAGCAAAAGTCATTTATTATTATTTAAAAAGTGAACTAATAAAATTACAAATAACTTATTATTATTTGAAAAATAGTCCTGCGTAAAATATGGTTAATTGATAAAAATAAGATTTGTCACATATATGTACGTATTTATATTAGAAAATGGAAAAGATAAATGGATTAGCGGAAGAATATAACTAACCGTGCAACGCTACACTAATGTGACCTGAAAGACTTTCTATAAATTAAACTTTTAAAAGTTTGAAAAAATTAATCGTGTATAATACATTAATTTCAAAGATTAACGATAAAATTTAGCCTTTTGAGACGTTTACTAGTATTAATTAACAACATCCACAAAAAATTCGATAAAGTTTTATTATTTTTTTAATTTATCATGCCTCGTAACTTAAATGCGAGCGAGCTTTTTATATTGAGTTATTTCATATGAAAATTAATTAATTAAGTGCGGAGTATATCTGAAAGCTAAGTGAATATAGGGAAAAAAACCTAAATAGGACTAAAACATATCAAATATACCTAAATAGTGGTCCAAAACATAAATTCCCCAAATAGGACTTAGTTTGCATGGTCATCCCCAAAATACCCTACTCTCCCTCTCATCTTGCCGCAAACCTTTATTTACCAAACATAAAATAAGTATATTACTATTAAAGTTAAGTGTTGCATTATTGTTGACATAAGGTGGCCATTTACAATATGAAATTTTAGTTTTCTCATTTACACGTACAACAATTTATAAGAGTCCCTAAAGTTGGTCATGTATATGCCAATTTGTGGCACTGTACACAGCGTTGAATGACAAAGGTTATTTAAATGAAACGAAATTATGAAATAAAAGTTTCAACAAGGAAGGACATTTTAAAAAGTACATTACATCTTAGTACAAGCAATTTTAACACAACTAAATCATACTAAAAAAAGTCATGTAATGCAACATAAAGTGATATCAAATAGTGTTTGGATCTTCCACTCATGGAATAGGATTTCTATGTGTTTGGGTGGACTATACCAGCATATGTACATATATACTAACGTCTCAATTTTGTAGAAAGGAGAAATAAAATCATAACAAGATAAGCCGGGATGTCTCCTAACAGCAGCCACCGCATGAACGCAAATAAATTGATCCAATTAGAATTCACAACATGTCCATGTTTTGTCCTTTAAACTCATATGGACATGTTGACTTTAAATGCATAACAAAAAAATAAAAATATGCAATGGTTAATATGCAATTAAAAAAATTCATGATAGTCCAACAAAGTATGTAATGTGGATATTACCAGTGTCATAATTTGTAATGTGGTGATGAATATTACGAACCATTGTAATGTAAAGTGTCACAGTATGTAATGTGGTAATGTGTATTACAAAGAGTTGTAATGTAGACGGGGCAGATTGTGAATTGTGACACGGAAAGGAAAAAGAGGGCAAAATCGGGAGAGAAAGAAAGAATGTGGCGGGAGAGGTCCTATTTGGGGAATAAAAAACATGAACTCCTATTTTAGGGATAAGCACAATGTTTTAGTCTTATTAGGGGTGATTTCTAGTGAATATATGGCAAGAGATTTGATTTTATCGTTTTTTAAACAATACTTTGAAAGTATGTTAATGAGCTAATAATAAGAGTATATATAGTGAAAGGAATGGAATAAAGATGAGAGGGGTGGGATTTGGATTTGGATACGCCCAGTGGGTGGTCCGACGTAGGGTTTGGGCATGGTGCTGGAAGGTGACGTTGTACCCGTCGTCACTATTTTCTTCGGCTAAGCGTTGACTTTTTTAAAATGCGGAATATATAATCCTTCAATTCATTAATTTGCAGTATTAATACCCTCTACTCCGTAAATATATCAGTCCAAGAAACTTGAATTTTAATTTCATGATACTCCCCCCGTCCCCCATAGATCTTCCCAATAGCCCTTTTTCTTTGTCCACAATAGATCTTCTCATTTCATTTTTTAACAATTAAAATACCACAACTACCCTCACTTACTTTATTTATTACACCTCACCCACCTCAATTAATACACTCCACCCATTTTTCATTAAGGATATTATGGTAAACTTTCACCTTTTTCCAACTCTCCTTAAAAATCACCAAAAGTCAAAATGAGAACATCTTAAGGGGACGGAGAGAGTAATATAAAAGATATTCTAAAGTTAATTTTTGTGATATAAAATTAAAAGAGTATATGTAGTTGTGGTTTTTCAAATGTGAAAAATAGAAATAAAAAAATGTAACCGAGTAAATAATACGGAGTAACATGCTTTTACACCAAACATGGATATGAACAAAATAAAAATATGAAAATCTACCGGCTATAGAGCCGCGATCAAGCTTAGATATATATGGTACGTAGCTAGAGAGGCCGCTGTCGAGACGAAACTTGCACGGTGACATATATGAAGTCATACATTTGAATGTATAGTGTTAGACACAGAGATAATGCCAATCAAACATGACAATAATGTATATATAATTCCGCACCTAGCAATATATAATCATAGATATGTCATTGTATAATGCTAGATATCACACATGTTGATTATATGTTGGCATCAAACTATTTCGATGTCTTACTTTGTCATCTTGACATCATTTTCAACTTCCAATCTATGTTATACTCTCCATCTTTGCCTTTGCCTTTTAGGGGTTTTTTTTATCTTTTGAGAGAAGCCTTTACGGGCCTTCGTAGAGAAAAAAAGATTGTAGGGTTAGGCAGTACGTGGTTACTGGGTCGCACGAGGAATGAGGTACGTAGTGTCTCTTTTACATAGTACTCCCTCAGTTTGAAAAAACCCTTCTCATTTTGAATTAGGGCAAAAATAAGGAAGTGTTAAATTATAGTTGATTTTCAATTTTGCTCCTGATGTGATGGGTAAATGTAAAATGTGATGAATAGATTATTAAAGAAAAAGTATTATGTGATAGGTAGGGTATGAAAAAGTAAGGGTAAAAGTGGTTTTTTAATAGAAAAGGAAAGTGTTTTGTTGGAAGTGGAAAAAATGAAAGAGGAAGTGTTTTTGAGAACGGAGGGAGTATAATCTTTAGCTCCTCTCTTTGGTTGCTTTTGATATCTTAATTTTAGTTTTTCTATTTTTTCAGTTGTTAAGTTTCAATTTCCTTTTGTGATTTTTAGTTTTTTAAAGTTTGTACTATTTAATTAACTGTATTTAATAATTTTAGTTTAATTAATTTAATTTAAATTAAGTGTTAAAAATAATATTAAAAAGTGAAAAGGAATGTGGAAAGAAAGAGGAATCACTCCGCTGAAAATATAATGCTCCCTCCGTCCTTAAATAAACTTCCCTTTTTGAGTTTTTGAGGATTTAAGGGAGGAATATTTTTGTGTTCACTTTTCAAAAATACCCTTGATGTGATGTGTAAAAGTAAGATATGATATGTAGATTATTAATAAAAAAGTATGATGTGATAGGTAGGGTATGAAAAAGTAAGGGGTAAAAGAGGTTTTTTTAAGGGAAAAGAAAAGTTTATTTGGGGATAAAGAAAAAACGAAAGAGGAAGTTTATTTGGGGACGGAGGGAGTAGAAAGGAGTTTTTCGATCTATATATTTTCTTCAGTTTTTAAGTTTTAACTTCCTTATGTAATTTTTAGTTTTTCTTTTTTGTTTTTTTAATTTTGAGGAAGCTTAGCTTGGGTTTGGTGGTTGAATATAGGGAATATTTCCTAATTATGGTAAAGGGTTGTTGCGTTTTTAGAAAGCAGCTATATAATGTAGCTAGTAAGTGTATATGCACTAGTGCAAGCTAAGATATGCTATGAATCTCAAGTAATAGACACACATTATAATATGGGTTTTAAAGTAAGTGCGGCCGGACGGCGGGTCGAGAGTGGTGGGAAGGGTACATGCGGTTGAAAAAGCATATCTTAGTTTTACATAAGTATGAGTTTATGTGCCCGCATGGGTAGCTCAACTGGTCCAAGGAGAAGATGTCAAGCCCATTGATCGTAGGGTCAAATCTTGGCAGCAGCAGTATGGAGTTCTATTCTTTGTAATAGTTCTTTGTGCGCATCGGGCACGAGGCAGCCTCTCTAAAAACCAGATTGAGATTATATCATGATTTATCTCTTCACAATCATCTCGAGCCGGGGTGTGGCCTGGGGGCGCTCGGGATGGGCATTTCACCTCAATAATGTTGTGTTCTTAATCAAGTTGGGATGCCTATGATCGTATCATGCATGTTGTTTGTTTTCATCTATGAATCAAATAAATATCTCATTTACTTAGCTTGGTGATGTTCTCAAGGATCATGTGAAAAAGTTAAAAAGAACAAACATTATTGTCTCTCAAAATAGTAAGACTGACAAAAAAAGTAACAAATGAATAAAAATTGTGAGATGGAGAGTGTAAACTTGCCTTATTATTATTATTATTATAAATTATATGGAAACAAATACTCTCTCTAACCCCATATCAAATTCACATTTTATTGTCTTAAACA